TGGCCTAGCTTTAAATATATAACCTACCTTATAAAGGTTCATCCAAAGTTACATTTCTTTTTTAAGAATTTTCAATGACAGTAACTGACTTTCTGCTTTTACATGTTCTCTGTTCGACGAGAACAACTCAGTGCTATTAGGCGTCCTGTAAATTATTGATGAAATAAAACTCTTGACTATTGATTCTTTTTCGTCTCCAAAAACACAGCTTTTTAAAAACGCTCTCCAGAGTGTAAAGTTTTGAAAAAACTGTTTTTTTTTCCTGTACTTGTTTATATCTTCCTCTTTCAACAGGTATGTTTCATCTGATATCCCTTGCTTAAAATCTCTTTTTTTGAAATAATTTATATTGAAATTTTCATGCCATACGGAAGCGAGTTTAACCGCTATTAATTCTAACCAAAAGTTTCGTGCATGGGCAAAAGAAACAGCTTGTCGTTAATTGGTGCTCGGGGTTGGGACCAGGGCCGGGGCTAGGCTCGGGGTCTGTCTATCTGTCCGTCTGTTTGTTTGTTTGCGTTCTTTTTCTCCCTTTTTCTACAGGTATGTTTCAACTAATATCACTTATTATAAATCTCCTTTTTTTGAAATGATTGATATTGAAATTTTCATGCCATACCGAAGCGGATTTAACCGCTATTTAATTCTAACCTCAAGTTTGGTGGGTAAAAGCAACAGCTTCTCGTTAACTGGTCGTAAAAGAAAATAAAAGAGATATAAACGGGAAGCGTATCCTCTCTTACGTACTACATCAGATCGGCGGCAAAGAGGAATGTTGTTGACTTGACTAGCTGGATATAAGTTAGTGTTAAGCCAGTTTGCCAGTAAAGGCTTACAGATTAAATCCAGAATTAGGTTGTAAATCGATTATAACGTGAATGTAACCAAAATAACTAAGGTGTCAACCGGCAAACAATAGAGCAATTCCGATGATATATTAAAATTCATATTTGGCTGCTAGGCTTGGGGGAATAAAACAAAAGAAATCATCTTGAGGCTCAGCAATGAAAATTATACATGTATTTCTCTTGTTTTATTTGCCCAAACCTCAAAGCCACGTATGATTTTTAATATATCGAAAATGGTCTATTAGAAATAGGCTTAGCTATTGCATAATTCCCAAAATATGGACTTAAAGTCTTTCCGAACTTTTCCCGAAAAAAGCTCTAAATTAAAATTCTTTTAGAAATTTCATAAATTCTCCAAAAATTCTCTAAAGTTGCCAAAAATTCTCAAAAAATTTCGGCTTTTTTTTTTTCATAGCGAGGGCCCCTTTTGGTGAATATCCGTGAATAAGTTGTAGTGTAGACGACTCTCATGAAAAGTCGCTAACTTGTTTTGCTCAGAAGTCAGTGCTCTTGACACTGCTGTAGCATGTAAGCGGACGGAGTCCTCTCTTGGTCGGTAGGAATACAACAAGAAACTTTTTGTCAAAGTTTTTGCTGTGAAACATTGCCGAAAAAAATGTCGGGTGAATGTTTAAATCGCTCTACAATTCTCCAGTCGATTTCAACCTAAAATTCCCGCGATTTTCCAAAATTCATTTTGATGACTAAAATTCCAGAAAAAAATTCCGAATTCAGTGTAGCTAAGCAAGAACAGACCTCGACCCAGGCCCTGGTACTAGAGGTTTCTGCTTCGTCTTACCCAAGCGGGAGAAACTCAGGAGACGCGTGAAGGAACTGGGGCAAAAAGGAGCTAAAAATGTCAACGAGGGTCAGAAGGACAAGGCCTCTCGCCCATACTGCTATGTTTTGCTCATCCTGGCACGTCTCCCGTTTAGCTTAAGGAAACGGAAATCACTGTTACACAGGCTATCCCGGCCCAGGCAAAGACTCCGTGTTTCGTTTGACAGTCGTTCACTTTGGTTTCAGTGGAATTCAGCATTAATGTCTGTCGATTTCCCTCATTTTATCTTTAACATTTTGGCAGAATAAACTTAGTTCAGTGTAGAAGTTGATACCTTTAAAGCTGATTTTTTTCTCTTCAGGGTAAACTTTCAAAGCTATTAAAGTATTTTTAGCGGGATCTCTTTTCAAGGATGCAACAACAGCATTTTTGGCTAAAAACTTAAATAGTATGCTTCTTCCCTTCCAGAATCGAAATAGCCGACCCTTACCCTGACTGGAACTATAATTTCATTCTTATTGAGCTTTCCCTTGTGAATAGAAAACGCCTCACTCGGAGGACGTTAAAATTTGCCAAACAATTGCCCTTGCAAACATGCGTAAAATCACCCAAGTATTATATACATGAAGAAATCAAAATCAGCTTGTGGTGATCTTAAGAGTTTTTATTTTTTTTTGTTTAGATTTTAAATTTCATCACAATGTATGAGTCCTTTTATTTACTACATACATCTAAAGTGACTCCAAAAATAAATATCTTTGTTTAACTTTCAATGCAAAAGCCTTAAACCATAGATGCTTACACTTTACTTGAGAAAACAGCAATGGTGATATTCAATATATAATAGATATATTAAACAGCAGTTAATCACTTTTTTCGATCAATATTGCAACAGTGCTGGATGCTGCACTCCTCAGCAACAACAACCTTGATAGCTCATTTTTCCTGTAGCAGTTTGTTTCAAATTAACATTTTCTTTCAGATAGAAGGCTGCAGGAAGCACCTGGATCTTAAAATCCCTACACAGAAGCTGGCCTAGAAGGTAAAATGATAATAATTATATAATGACACAAGAGTTCGTTTTGACATTTCTACTAGTCTAGAAGGATTTTTGAACGCATTACTGCGAAACTGCGACCTCTTCTGCCAGGAAGTATTTTTGGGGCCAAACAAAAGTAGCCAATATAAAAACTAAGAATTTAACCATAAATTAATATATTCTGTTCTCCTCCTTTTTTCTTTCTCGCTTTTTCTTTTTTTCCCTGCCTTTTCCTTTACTACTGTGATTTTCGAGCTAATTGAGTGCAAACTAAACAAAACCCTGTCCTTTTGCACTTTTTCGCACTAAGGGCTGCAAATTTCGCTAGGTTCATTTTCAAAAACTGGATTTTGAATTTTGGCTTTATGGCTAAGGTTAAAAGACAATCGCACTGCAATTCAGGGAAACCTTCATTTCTTTTGCTTCATTCCTTGAAGTCTGCAGTCAGAGCTCACTGCGTTGATTTTTTTATGTGAAAAAATATCCCAGAACAGACTGAAGAGACTTTACCTTCGTTGTCATCATCTTTTCGTAGGCCGACATTTATCGGACGTGTAAGATCTTGGCTTTGCGCAATTTTCTGAAAAACATAACAAAGTCTTTTAGTTTAATTCTTCCTTTTCTTTTATTAATAAATCTGCGCTACGTACATTTTGTATATCCTTTTGAACAAATAAAAGAATTGTTTGAAAAAATCAATAGACACTTTCTTTTTGAGTAAGCCAGAGTTGACAATCCAAAATAGTACAGTAATAAAAATATAATATAATAACAAAAAAAAAAAAAATTTAAAAATAAACGCAAATGAATCATATTGAATGATGTCCTTCGAACACAGGTTAGATCCAATTACGATGATATTGTCACGTTTAGGCAACCTAATGGGATATTTACCTTTCCTGGTGCAGACATTTTGCTGAGAGTTTCTAGTTCAGGTAAAGCTTCGCTCGAGAAGGTTTGTGAGTCCAATCACACTGTTGATTAAACACCATGTCTTTATGTCTTTTATAGTCTTTGATGTTGTGTCAGGCCATAATCACGCGAGGTGCACATTAAATGGACTTTGTCAATATCCCTTCTAAATACAGTATTGTACCTAGAACTTAAAAACCGATTTTGCCATCTTTTTTGTTCACAGAAGTGGGTGAATTGTTATTCTAGTCATTTGTCTGCATCTTCAAACTTTCTTTAAGTCAAATCACGCGAAGGACACTATAAAAAGGTTTAAAACACGAGTCACAAGACAAACGTTTCTTTGGTTTACTTTTTATCTCAAGGTAGGTTGCATTATTATCTTTTCAAAGTTGTTTTCATGGTTATTGTATAAAAACACATTACACACCTCTGTAACAGAGCCAGTGAAACCCTACCCAGTGATTTAATCAGTCGGCTACCCAGTGATAAATTAGCCTCCCGGTACCTGGCGCGAATAGTTTAATTTGTTTCTACCCGGCTAATTTTTTTCCCTCCCAGGTCAATTTCTATTGTGACTACAAAACCAGTATATATATTTCTTTATTCATATTTGTTTTTAAGGAAGCAAAACTATAAAACATTATCACCAAAGACAAATGAAATCGGAGGGTATCAATGAAATCGAATCTCGCATTAAAAAAGTGTAAACCTCTTAGTTCTTCTTGCTATAGCAATATAATGTAAAATGTTTTCAAAACTTTCATAGCCTTAAAGAATACAGAGTTTGTATGTGAGTTCGGAAACGGGGTTCAGTTGTGATGGCTGCCGACCAGCTGTAAGACATAGTAGAGCTGCGTCCTTTGTTTAAGCCTGCAAGAAAATACTAACCTGACTAACCTCCTCTTCTGTGGCCATTAAAAGTATTGTGATTTCTCTTCAATTTAGTGCAACGATTGATGTCAACAAAAGCACTTCATATAGATCCTGAACGATATTCTTCCTCCTGCATTATCATTTAGGAAGTCTACGTCAAATTAAATTTATTGAAATTTGTTACCCCGGCTTGCTTTTTGCAGTCTTTGTTAGCTGTCGTTTCTATTGCCTTTCCATTTCGCCTCTATATCAGGGACCCGGGGGGGGCTGGTAGGGCTATAGCCCTACCACTTTTATTGCTGGGATTTATTTTCTAGGGCTCCAGTGGTCATGGAAAGAATTCCCGTTGAATTTTTGGACTTTGCCCTATGGAAGAATTGGGTGCTTGTATGTCCGAACGATTACAGCCCGATTTGTGTGCAACGATAATAAGATGTAAGGCCCAAAATGGAAGGAGCGATTTGACTTTTTCTTTGCTTCTCATCTTGGAGAGCACCTTTATTCCCACACCGATAATCTATCTAAGGATTTTCAGGGTACTAAGATGGCAGCTGTCATTGGACAACGCCTGCCAAAACTAACAAAGACGACGCTGACAAAATTTCGCACTGATGAAAGCTTGGACCATTTCTATGCTGATGTTGCCTGCAAGAGTGAAGGCCTGCTTAGCGAACCAACGCTTCCAAGAAAACGACGCACTTTGGTCAGACTGGAGGTTGGTGCTGGAGGTTGGTGCTGGTGCACCAAGCTATCCCCAAACTGCCAAAGATCACTTTAGAGGGGTCTATTATGAGGGTATTCATCTTATCGTCGGGCTATATATCACCGCGTTAATCAGGAAAGCTTCAGCTCCTACGCCCAGATGGAGACCCTCTTGGTTAAAGCTCATATTGGTGACGACGAGGCAGAGTTAAGTTTCGTGATGCGTCATACAGGGAAGATGTTGATACAGGGGCGCTACCTGAGCAACTAAGTATTTTGGAAGTTATGTTAAAGGAGGAGAAGATATCATGTTTTAACGAAATCCTGTTGGCGGTGTTAAAGTTTCCAGAACCAGAAAAGAGGCTAATTCAGGAAGTCCAAACTATCTGTAAGCTGCTTGCTGTAAATCCTGTTACCAGTGCTGCTGACGAGCGTTCACTCTCATCTGCACGGGGTCTGAAGACGTCGCTTCGTTCCAAGATGCGTGACGAAAGGTCTAGCAACTTAGCAGTGTTGCCGGAATGGTCACAAGCGGAGAACAGACAGTGTCTCTATAGCTGACGTCGCACAGGAGTTTGTTTCCCGCAATGAAAACCTCAAGAGAAACTTCAGCATTGCGGACAACTTCAAAAAGTAGCAATCTTAGGAAGGTTTATTTAACATATTGGCTATACTGGACACTATTACAAGTGACGACGTTTATGTTATATTTGCTGAGGTTGTAAATAAGATGGCGCGCAAATGCAAGATAAATGGCGAAACACTGAACTTAATGCTTCTTTGTACTGGTCAGATTTTTTAGCCCCACCACTTTAAAATGGTCTCCGCGGTCCCTGTATATAGCCCCTGAAAATCATAGAGCTGAAACAGACTGTAATCGCTAAGCTTCTCCCAAGAAAAAAAAGGCTTTTGAGGGTTTTATTCGCTAAGAAAAACTTGTGAATGATTACTGAGTATAAGTATCTGTTTATTTGTAAGATAATGTGTGCACCCGGCACTCTGGTTTTGATTATTATCATTTTTCTCTAGTCTCTTTTTCTTAAATTAAAGTCCAGCTTTTAATTTTTTTTAAACACAAACTGGAGTGAAGCTCTACATAATTTATTAAGTCAATAAAACGTTGGCCTAGCATTAAATATATAACCTACCTTATAAAGATTCATCCAAAGTTACATTTCTTTATTTAGAATTTTCAATCACAGTAACTGACTTTCTGCTTTTATATGTTCTCTTTTCGACAAAAACAATTCAGTGCTATTAGGCGTCCTGTAAATTATTGATGAAATAAAACTCTTGACTATTGATTCATTTTCGTCTCCAAAAACACAGCTTTTTAAAAACGCTCTCCAGAGTGTAAAGTTTTGAAAAAACTGTTTTTTTTCCTAAGTGTTTATATCTTCCTCTTTCAACAGGTATGTTTCATCTGATATCCCTTGCTTGAAATCTCTTTTTTTGAAATGATTTATATTGAAATTTTCATGCCATACCGAAGCGAGTTTAACCGCTATTAATTCTAACCAGAAGTTTCGTGCATGGGCAAAAGAAACAGCTTGTCGTTAATTAGTGTTAAAGAAAATACAAGACCTTTAACAAAACGGAAAGCCTATCCTCTCTTACCTACTACGTCAGATCGGCGGCTCAGATGAATGTTTTTGACTCGACTAGCTTCATATAGTTTAGTGTTAAGCCAGTTTGCCAGTAAAGGATGTAAAGGAGAAATTCAGAATAAGGTTATAAATCGATTATAACGTAAATGCAACCAAAATAACTAAGGTGTCAACCGGCAAACAATTACAACAAGAACAGTCCTCGGCCCAGGCCCCTTTACTAGTGAAGAGGTTTCTGTTTCCTTTTACTCAAGTGGGAGAAACTCTGTCAAGAGACGTGTGAGGGCACTGGGGCAAAAAGGAACTAAACATTTCAACGCTGCTCAAGTGGGCGAGGCCCCTCGGCCCATGCTGCTATGTTTTGCTCGTCCTCGCATATATCCTGTTTGGCAGTAGACAACCGTTCATGTTGGTTTCATTTGGAATTCAAGAAATTACGAGTGTTCTTTGAGTAAGTACAGAAACACGGGAAGACGTAAATGAAATATTGTCACAAAATACACAAGCACTTGTAATTCATAATTCACTTTGCTAAAAAAGGAAAATACTGGCCGCATGAAGAAACACTTTTGCAGTTCTTTGAAATACATAAGCATATTCGAGCTAACTCAAAGTTGGCCAAAAACCCGTTTGGTAAGTAAAGAGTAGTTGTAGGTCGGGTCTCATGTAGCGAAACGTAGACTCAATCCGGCTCGAAGCCGGTGCTCGGGGTTGGGACCAGGGCCGGGGCTAGGCTCGGGGTCTGTCTATCTGTCCGTCTGTTTGTTTGTTTGCGTTTGTTTTCTCCCTTTTTCAGCAGGTATGTTTCAACTAATATCACTTATTATAAATCTCCTTTTTTTGAAATGATTGATATTGAAAGTTTCATGCCATACCGAAGCGGATTTAACCGCTATTTAATTCTAACCTCAAGCTTGGTGTGTAAAAGCAACAGCTTCTCGTTAAATGGTCGTAAAAGAAAATAAAAGAGAGATAAACGGGAAGCGTATCCTCTCTTACCTACTACATCAGATCGGCGGCTCAGACGAATGTTGTTGACTTGACTAGCTGGATATAAGTTTGTGTTAAGCCAGTTTGCCACTAAAGGCTTACAGATTAAATCCAGAATTAGGTTGTAAATCGATTATAACGTGAATGTAACGAAAATAACTAAGGTGTCAACCGGCAAACAATGGAGCAATTCCGATGATATATTAAAATTCATATTTGGCTGCTAAGCTTGGGGGAATAAAACAAAAGAAATCATCTTGAGGCTCAGCAATGAATATTATACATGTATTTCTATTGTTTTATTTCCCCAAACCTCAGAGCCACGTATGAATTTTAATATATCGAAAATGGTCTATTAGAAATAGGCTTAGCTATTGCATAATTCCCAAAATATGGCCTTAAAGTCTTTCCGAAATTTTCCCGAAAAAAGCTCTAAATTAAAATTCTTTTAGAAATGTCCTAAATTCTCCAAAAACTCTCTAAAGTTGCCAAAAATTCTCAAAAAATTTCGGCTTTTTTTTTTTTCATAGCGAGGGCCCCTTTTGGTTAATATCCGCTGATAAGTTGTAGTGTAGACGACTCTGATGAAAAGTCGCTGACTTGTTTTGCTCAGAAGTCAGTGCTCTTGACACTGCTGTAGCATGGAAGCGGACTGAGTCCTCTCTTGGTCGGTAGGAATACAACAAGAAACTTTTTGTCAAAGTTTTTGCCGTGAAATATTGCCGAAAAAATGTCGGGTGAATGTTTAAATCGCTCTACAATTCTCCAGTCGATTTCAACCTAAAATTCCCGCGATTTTCCAAAATTCATTTTGATGACTAAAATTCCAGAAAAAATTTCGGAATTCAGTGTAGCTAAGCAAGAACAGACCTCGACCCAGGCCGGGTACTAGAGGTTTCTGCTTCGTCTTACCCAAGTGGGAGAAACTCAGGAGAGGCGTGAAGGAACTGGGGCAAAAAGGAGCTAAAAATGTCAACGGGGGTCAGAAGGACAAGGCCTCTCGCCCATACTGCTATGTTTTGCTCATCCTGGCACGTCTCCCGTTTAGCTTAAGGAAACGAAAACCACTGTTACACAGGCTATCCCGGCCCAGGCAAAGACTCCGTGTTTCGTTTGACAGTCCTTCACTTTGGTTTCAGTGGAATTCAGCATTAATGTTTGTCGATTTCCCTCATTTTATCTTTAACATTTTGGCAGAATAAACTTAGTTCAGTGTAGAAGTTGATACCTTTAAAGCTGATTTTTTTTCTCTTTAGGGTAAACTTTCAAAGCTATTAAAGTATTTTTAGCGGGATCACTTTTCAAGGATGCAACTACAGCATTTTTGGCTAAAAACTTAAATAGTATGCTTCTTCCCTTCCAGAATCGAAATAGCCGACCCTTACCCTGACTGGAACTATAATTTCATTCTTATTGAGCTTTCCCTTGTGAATAGAAAACGCCTCACTCGGAGGACGTTAAAATTTGCCAAACAATTACCCTTGCAAACATGCGTAAAATCACCCAAGTATTATATACATGAAGAAATCAAAATCAGCTTGTGGTGATCTTAAGAGTTTTTATTTTTTCTGTTTAGTTTTTAAATTTCATCACAATGTATGAGTCCTTTAATTTACTACATACATCTTTAGTGACTCAAAAAATAAATATCTTCGTTTAACTTTCAATGCAAAAGCCTTAAACCATAGATGCTTACACTTTACGTGAGAAAACAGCAACGGTGATATTCAATATATAATAGATATATTGAACAGCAGTTAATCACTTTTTTCGATCAATATTGCAACAGTGCTGGATGCTGCACTCCTCAGCAACAACAACCTTGATAGCTCATTTTTCCTGTAGCAGTTTGTTTCAAATTAACATTTTCTTTCAGATAGAAGGCTGCAGGAAGCACCTGGATCTTAAAATCCCTACACAGAAGCTGGCCTAGAAGGTAAAATGATAATAATTATATAATGACACAAGAGTTCGTTTTGACATTTCTACTTGTCTAAAAGGATTTTTGAACGCATTACTGCGAAACTGCGACCTCTTCTGTCAGGAAGTATTTTTGGGGCCAAACAAAAGTAGCCAATATTAAAACTAAGAATTTAACCATAAATTGATATATTCTGTTCTCCTCCTTTTTTCTTTCTCGCTTTTTCTCTTTTTCCCTGCCTTTTCCTTTACTACTGTGATTTTCGAGCTAATTGAGTGCAAAAAAAAAAAAAAACCCTGTCTTTTTGCGCTTTTTCGCTCTAAGGGCTGCAAATTTCGCTAGGTTCATTTTCAAAAACTGGATTTTGAATTTTGGCTTTATGGCCAAGGTTAAAAGACAATCGCACTGCAATTCAGGGAAACCTTCATTTCTTTTGCTTCATTCCTTGAAGCCTGCAGTCAGAGCTCACTGCGTTGATTTTTTTATGTGAAAAAATATCCCAGAACAGACTGAAGAGACTTTACCTTCGTTGTCATCATCTTTTCGTAGACCGACATTTATCGGACGTGTAAGATCTTGGCTTTGCGCAATTTTCTGAAAAACATAACAAAGTCTTTTAGTTTAATTCTTCTTTTTCTTTTATTAATAAATCTGCGCTACGTACATTTTGTATATCCTTTTGAACAAATACAAGAATTGTTTTAAAAAATCAATAGACACTTTCTTTTTGGGTAAGCCGGAGTTGACAATCCAAAATAGTAAAGTAATAAAAATATAATATAATAAAAAATAATAATTAAAAAAATAAACGCAAATGAATCATATTGAATGATGTCCTTCGAACACAGGTTAGATCCAATTACGATGATATTGTTACGTTTAGGCAACCTAATGAGATATTTATCTTTCCTGGTGCAGACATTTTGCTGAGAGTTTCTAGTTCAGGTAAAGCTTCGCTCGAGAAGGTTTGTGAGTCCAATCACACTGTTGAGTAAGCACCATGTCTTTATGTCTTTTATAGTCTTTGATGTTGTGTCAGGCCA